ACGCACGCAATGAACTAGAGAACATGTCCTTCCTTTTGTGGTACAGCATGCCCATGTTATGTTAGACTCTAATAATAAAGCGTTAGTAATGCGTGTCAGTCATTTTCTAATAATCGTTCTTTAATCAAGCAGTAACTCAATGAAAAATAACTCACTTTCTCTAAATGTGTGTGTGTGGCAGTTCTACTGGCCAAACACTGCGAGGTATTTCCTAGCGGTTTAAACGTAAATCTTCCTCATCGTCCCAGTATGAGACATTGCGAAATGGAATTGAATGATTTGGAAGAAAATATGGGCAGTTTTATTTGACATTTGCTATCCTCGTGCCATCTTCAGCATGTTTTAGGTGAAGGGAGTTGCCACTGCCGTGAATTGAGAAATCTCAAGTGTTCCTAATGAAATGCGGTGCGATTCGTGTGATCTTTCCATTTGCGTTCTTCCGGGTTCCGCAAGGAAACCATCACAGCTATTTCCTCGTCTGCCTCCTCGTCCTCGTTCAAAATGCAGAATTGCAAAATTGCAGGATGACGTGCTCATTTGTTACTGATTGCATCACCTTCAATCCTTTGAAAACACTGACGATCAATGCAAAGAAGCCGAAGCGCGCGACAGTTCATCGTGATTCTTTCTCGGCCTCTCGGCATATAATCTCCCGCCTATAATCCTAATTCAAATCGCAGGAAATCCCTTAAAAGAAGGATCTCCAGACAAGAGCTTGCAGTAAAAAGGGTCAATTGTGGATCGTGACTGAGTAGTGTGTTCCCTGCTTTCCTACATTCCCTCTAGTTCCCTGTCATCCTAAGTTCGTCTAAGCTGTGCCTTGCATGTCGTTCGATGTTTCTAAGACTGGAACGCGCCCACATTTTCGTGGTTCATTTCCCGCTCTTTCGGTCTCGCATCTGCACTCCAACATCGGAAGTGTGCGCAGGAGAGTGTAGCAAAAAAGCTCTCGCTGGGAACCCTGCTGAAAAAACCTCACAACAAACTCATGAGGTCTCACGACCTTCTCATGAGAATTGTGCGGTTCCTCTTGAGGCTTCGAAACGTCCTCATGAGGATCGAGGCCTCATGAGACCTCATGAGGTTCCTTCTTCAGTGCACAACCGACGCGAGATGGCGACTGTATAGCCGCTCTGATGGGATGAATTCCCTGATCTCACTGGAACATCTCTCCTGTACTCACCAAGTTGTATGCATTTTTATTTCTACATTGAACATAATCAAATATATTTGATTTTCTAAAAACACTTGTCCAAAGAGATAGCCCAGTTTAGAGAGACTTCAGACAATTCTGGCCTACAAGATGGAATGACGTATATGAGAGGGAATAAATGACAGTTGTTTTACCACATATATTCCTTCGTATATGATTACTTCTCTTTTAAGGACTCGCGGGACCTTCCAAGCTGAGTCCCATGAGACTTTTCGTGGCTATTTGGTCACGAGACAAGTGGCGCCTCTATGCGAAAACCCCATGAAGTCAACCTCATGAGATATCTGCTTCAAACCTCATGAGGTCATTCTCATGAGACCTCTGTCCGAAAACCTCGTGAGAATCTCACAAGGAAACTTCATGAGATTCTCACGAGGTTTTTTCAGTAGGGAAGTGCCTTCATTTTAATTTTCGGAGATACAGTGGAACCTCGCTTAACGAGCATAATTTGTTCCCGAATCTTACTCGTAATGCGAAACACTCGTTAAGCGATTCACTCGTTATGGGAGGTGCTCGTTAAGCGAGGTTTGACTGTATATGAATATACAGTCAAACAGAGTGATTCGCGTAACGAGTGTTTCGCATTACGAGTAAGATTCGGGAACAAATTATGCTCGTTAAGCGAGGTTCCACTGTACTTTCAATTTGTATTTTCTGCTTGAAGCGTGATACCGTCACGAGAGAGAAGCGGAGAGCAGTTCAAGAGACGAAGATAGTAAATGAAGGGCAGTATTTGAAGAGAAACAAATAGAACTAGCAGGGTGGCATTTAGATAGGAAGAAACGCCCGAAGCTGCTCGAGCCAGATGGATATAGGAATGTCTTCTGGATGAGGAATATGAAAGGAGTATATGATTCCACTCATATGATTCCTTCTACTGTACCGGATGACCGGAAAAGACAGGACACAAATGGAATATTCTTGATTTCATAATTATGCCATTAATGTCGGCGTACAAATTACCTTATGGTCAACATGACTTATGGTCATGTGATCAATGTATCTCAGGATGTCAGAGACATGGTGCTACGACTTCCACGCAACCTCGACCAGGGGAGCATCTTTGTTTTCAAACAACCCGTTGCCCAGGGAATGTATAGTAACTTCCTCTAGCTGAAAAATAAAATACTTCTTGCATTTCACTGGCTACAACGGCATTGACCATGTAAACAATGTATTGAAGTCATGGGAGAAAACCTCCTGCAACTACCGATCGCTGATTTGATGACCTGGGAGAAAGATCTGGAAGGACCTGACGAAGAGGTTCCATGAAATGAGGGGGGCGGGAAAGAGGACGACACCTCCTTCCTCCCCGGTCGGTTTCGCCAGGAAACAGAACGCGAGGGACTTACAGCTACAATTACCGATGACGAAGCCGTTGCATGGTTGGTGTTGGGAATAATCTGATGAATGAATTTTTGGCAGTTGTTGCTAACATTGTTGCAGCTGACACATTACTACGAGTTTTGCAAGACAAGGAAGGTCCTAATCATTCTCTTCCCATCGCATAAAGCAAAGCTACCCCTGGGAGTGCAGCAATCCCAACACGTTTATAAAGAAAACGAGGTCGGTAAGAAGAAAGGAAGGCCATTCATTTATTTTCAGAAATAATGGTATGACCTCTGTGAGCTGTCAAGGACTGCATGATAGAACCGTTAAAAATCAGAAACTTTTAATCAGATGAGGGAAAGAATGGACGTAAAACAATCTAATAAGCAACTCATGCATCCTCCTTTTCCCATCGACGTTAGTCATTGCGAATCAGGACGCTGTGCCCATTGGTATCAAATGAGGGGTATTCATTTCCACTGGATTTGCTCCGCCCACTTTCATGATGATATCCAAGCAGTCAGCTTCTCTATGTCTTCATCATCTTCTTTTGTCTTCAAAAGGAAAATTAAAACTCAGTTTCATAATTAATTAAAACCATTACCCTCAAAATGCGAAGGGAAACCTTTCTTATTCAAGAAAAAGAATCCCTTAACCCCAATAGATCACATTTGCATCAAGTCATCCCACTGTCTGCAAAAAAAAAATTATTTACTCATTGAGACTGGAAAATGCCTCACAAAACAAATCAAATGAAAATATTCATCAGGTTCGTCCCTCTCATATTCCGAGCGATGAAACTATGTGAGGTATTTTGAAATGCAAAACTAAGTATGGCTATTCAAATGTGAACAGCAAAACCTGCTCGAAAACCGTAAAAATGAAAAACAAAAGAAATTTTGATTTATTTATTTACCTATTTAAGTTTGGAAATAATCCTTATTACATTCTGTGAAAATTGCTCTCGTGGTCTTTTCTGTTATTCTCATGAAAAGCTTAAATGTCCATGCACAATGTATCAATATCGTACACAATCAAAAGTTATATGAATACCGCTTTAATCTCATCTTATCCCATGAACTTAGACCAAATTTCTATCAAAGATAAAAAATCAAAGATCCAGAAATCGATAAGGATCTAACAGTAACCTTGGCTCCTACATAATTCCGGCCTGGTTTCCAGCAACATTAAGGGACGGTACTGGAGCCGACACGCCTAGCCTAAATGAACGACAGCTAGTTTCTTTTTTTAACGACAAAGAAGTGCATTGTAAGCAACAAAAATGGCACTTTTCATTGTCTACGCGTCATGATCTGACTTTTAGATTAACTCTTTCCTCCAAGAATCCCAAAGGAGCGGCAACCCAGGAGGAAGAGCGAAAAAATAAAGGAAAACGGAGTGAAATTCGCTATCTCCACAACCGAGATTCTGTGTACTTTGCAACTCTGGGGAAATGGTGCTACAAATTGGTGGAGAGATACTGTGCTGAAATGGTAAGAAGCATGTTGTTCGGTCATCTGTCTGTTTGGTCATCGTCAGTGAAAATGTCAAAACAGCTTGATTGACATAGATCCAATATGAAGGATAAAAATACATTTAATTCAATTTATTCATTCATGGCAAAACCGTATAAGTTCTTACAGTGCTAAAGTTTGGAGACCATAAAATATATGGCTTCCGAACAAGGCATTTGCAAGGTCACCTAAGGAAAAGGCTTTTCCAGCCTGCCAATAATTGTTTCTGAGGGATAGCTTAACAATGCTTGGTTTAAAAAAAAGTACGTTGTCGTTTCCGAACTAAGGTACCGTCCGAACCGAAGATGATTAAACCCTACCGAATTGATTAGGAGGGCGGCAAAATGTTCTCAGGTAAACAATATCTACCAGCGTAAGGCCCTACTCAGGAAGGGTATGGATTGGTAGGGAAAGGAGTGGCGAGATGGATTTTCTTGGCCTCATGCTCCACCCCACGCACTCATCCAAGACCAAGCCGGCGGGTTTGAGGGGTGGGGGGAGACACTCTCCAACGTCTATGAAATGCTGAGGCCCTAGCTCTTCTATTAGGGAGAATACTGCGCCCCATAATTCTTTTAAGAGAGAGAGAGTGAATAGGTAAATGTTAAATTGATTCGCTGCTTACCAGGTCATTCCATCTCAATAATAATTCATACAGATAGACGATGTGAATGCTCATTCCTGAATGAAGACGCTTCGCAATTTGGAGAGATTTTGTGCCTCTTTCGAATATTCCATCAGAGTGGAACAAACTGTTTACGATGCCCCACAGGGCAAGTATTTCGTTTTCCAGTAATCCAGGCTGGAAAGAATGTTAAGCGATCCATGTTCAACCATACTGATTACAAAGTAAATGGAAATCGGGAAAGGAATGGCATTTCCATCACTGAACCGTGGAAATTTAGGGAAATAAAAATCTTGTAAGAGGTCTGAGCCATGAATACCTGGATGGACTGTCGAAGTGCTTGAGTGTAAGAGGCTGTCTCTTTCTTCTGGAGGAGAAAACGGAACTGATTCTTCGCTCTTCGTGAAAGCCTCGTCTTCTCCTCAGCCAAATGCAGCTGCATCTGATCCATCTAAAATCATCAGCCTACATCTTGAATCCAATCCTCTTCCGTAGATTAGACCTGAGAATGTGATCGAATTTGAGACCTGAGCTTTCCTCTCATTGAGCTCTGTCTCCATCGCAAGCTGGTTTTGCTGCATCACTTCGCGCACTGTTTGCTCCATCTTGAGTCGCTCCAGAAGTTTATTAATAGTTCTTTCATACTGTGCCTTCAGCTCCCTAAATTGATTTGTCTCTCTCCACTTCTCAGCCGTCAGCTTTTGCTGCAACTCTTCTACCTGCAGTTAAGAGATAGTCTTTTGTCCTTAATACTGCATTTCAAAATGTATATAGGGAATAGCAAGTCTGGCATCATACAAGACATCGATCTATGACAAAATATTTCGAGCAACTCTACTCAGCTTAATTTATGTACTTCGACTAAACATAGTAAAGGAAACAGTTTAGTAATTAGTTGAATCTCCACATTCTGTACGTCCCGCAGAGTTTCGACTCCACTCGGCGTGATATCAGGTAACACTCAGTTTTCAGGAAGGGATCTGTAGAGAATTTTTTTCTTACTTGGACTGTTTCAAACTAATCCTCCTACGATGATGATGTCATTACAATGATGACCCCAATCGACTCATTACATAGGATAGCATTTGAGACCTGAGCTACATCTCTGCGGTGATTTCGTTCAATCCTTTGGCGCACCATCTCCTCCCTCCTGAGTCGCTCCGCAAGTTCTCCAATCTCCCTTCCATGCTGTGCCTTGAGCTCCGTAAATTGTTTTACCTTTCTTCTCTCCTCGGCCAGTGCATCCGACAGCTTTTGCTGCATCTCTTCCACCTGCGATAACGAGTAATCTCTTGTGTCAAAAATTTTCAAGTAAATAGAGAATATAATAAACATTAAATCGTAGAATATATCGATCAATGGCATAACCATTTGAATAACTCTATTTCAGTGCATTTGTTTAACCTTTACACGCCGAGCATTTTCAAATTCAAACTTAACATGCCAGCAGAAAAATTCCATTTGCCATATTCCAAGTGCATGGAATCTCCCTTTGCACTCATATTACACGAAGATTCCATGTTCTTCAAATTTAGCTAAATTTTAAAATGTCCTCATGAATGTTGTTTTCCAATGTAGCAAAATTATAACTTTCTCACTAACATGCTATGTTCGAATTTGGAAACATTCGGTGTGCAATGGTGAATTGGAAAAAAAATATGTTGTACATGGAGCAACCAAAGTAATTTATATTACTATATGGTGCAATTCTCCACATACTATTCATCCCATAGGGTTCGGACCCAATTTGACGTGATTTCTGGTACTTTTGTATATTCAGTTGTCCCACGGTAGCGGAAACCCTCATTGTATTACGGCGTGGATATGAAGTAAATTGATTTCCTACTTTGCTTAAAATTTATCCGCCAACCTGATACGAGAAGGCTATGCCATTTTTGAGCAAATTCGTTACACCTATTCGCCACAGGCTTCCTGAATATAAATGGTCGAACTTAGTGCCGATTGGTCAAATTAGGTCACTCTGGGTCACATATAATATTTTTAAATGAATGTATTGTTGTCATTATCCCATCAGGGAGGCAAGTGAGTTCCAAACAGCTCAGGAAGGAAATTATCTAAATCCTAAAATGATATGATTCTGGGTTTTCGTTACTTCATGCACTTTTTTTAGCAGAAGAGAATAGAATCGAGTGAGACACCTGAATTTTCTTCTCCCTGACCTTTGTCTCAAGTCGTCCTTTGCTTCTCTCCATCCATTGACGTTGTGTCTGCTCCCTCTGGAGATCCTTCTCTAGTTCCTTGATACGAGCCTCATGCCGTGCCTTCAGCTCCTCCTGCTCGGCAAGTGTCTTCGACATGCTTTCCAGCTTCTGTCGCATCTCCGCTACCTGAAACCTCTCGGGTCTGACTCATGTATGAAATGAAGTACAGTGAAAACTCGTTAACTCGAACTTTTAGGGACCGGGCAAATCGTTTCGAGTTA